AAAGTCCCAAAAATGCCTTAAAATGCTTCACAAAAAAAAAGTGCCTAGAAATGCCATAAAATGCAGGTTTATGCCACAAAAAATGTATCTAAATTCTTTATTTTGATCAATTATTTTCAAACATTTTCATCATAATTTTAGCCTCAGACCAACATGACCTGAAATAAGGATTTTCCAAAAAAAAAAAAAAAAAAAGCCGAATTGATGATTTCCTTCTCAATTTAAAAAAAAAAAAATTCTCTCAAATGCTCTCAACTTATGAAAAACATGCAGAAAATATATTTAGGAAAAACAAATTCCAAATATTTTCATCATAATTTTTCAGTCTGACCAACGTATGTGAATTTTTGTTTTTTAAAAAACAAAAATTCTAAGAAATTTCTCAAAATGCTTTTATTTGATGAGAAACATGCAGAATAGATAAAATGTTGAATTTATTTTCAACAATTGACAATAGACAATAGAAATCAGGAAAAAAAAGTTTGCAATCAACAGTTTGCATATCACAGCTCAACTACAAACATGGTATATCACCTAAAAACGTTAAGCTAACTTACCGTTATGTTGCTCCGTCCATTTGAGCATATGAATCAGAGTTGTTGAGGAAGCCTTGTATAGAAATGCCAGAGTTTATCTTTGACAAGTGAAGACGAACTCTGATAAACACATGAGAGTCAAGCAAATAGTGTTTCATAATGTGCATCTGTTTGCTTTTGGCAGTTTTTGTTTAAGTTACACAAATAAAGTAAAACAAATTAGCATAAAAAAAAACTCTTGAAATTCCTTTTTTTTGTTCTGGGACAAATCAGTAGGTAAAAATACATAGCAATACACATGTAATTTTGAGATAAAACTAGTATCTACAATATCTACAGTAAATGACAAATAAATTATAAAATATCTGACAATTGCTTTGTTATGTTATTGTATATATAGTTTAAAGTAATTGATTCGACTTAAACCACAGACACTTGTTTACACTCTGATGAAATTGTCAGAAGATGGCAGGAAATTGAGATGGGATAAAGGTACAATATTCTCACTATGTCTTATTCTAAACCTCTGAAAAAAAATCTGTTTGACTTCTGTTGTTATGTTTTAACAGAAACTTCTTCAGAAATTGTTTTTACCTCTTGGGCTCAGCTGACTGAGCTTTGATCACACTGCATATCCAAAGACTCAGGGTGTACAGTAGGCATGCATGTAGACACAAACACACTCACAAAGTGTGTGTGTTTATGTGCACATGGCTTGGTTCCGGATTAGTGAGATCACATGTATCTCCACATCTGTTTTTTTTTTTTGTTTTTTGTTTTAATTTTCTGAAGATTAAGTTCAGAGTCAGGTTCAAAACCAAATATATATTTATCAACGCAAAGCAACAAAAACAACAAAATCTCACTTGGTCAAAAGGCATGGACTCCAAACACAGCACACACCCAGACCAATGAACAGTGCCACAAACAATGATCCCACAAAGACAGAGTGAAGGAGAGAGGGATATATATACCCATAGCACCAGGTGAGTGTGATGACACAGAATAACCTCACACAGCAGACGGCAGGAACAGGAAGCAGACAGACCCAACACAGCTGGTACAAGGCGCCACCAAGGGATCAGAGCATCTACATAAAAAACAGACAAAATGTCAATGTACAATGAGTACAATATATATATATATATATGTTGTTATTGGCCTAAACATTTGCCTTGTTTGCCCTCCGTGGACATATTTGGCCTTTTCTGCCTCCTCCTTACAGATTTGCTCTTTATCCAACCAGGCCATCCCTCCTTCTTTCCAGTGGGTGTTCCTACAATACTGGGAGGTCCAATCACAGAGCAGTTCTCTTCTCCATCTCTTTGTGGTCAGCCTACAACCAGTACTTTTGTGTTGTGTTTTTTTTCTTTTTAACTTTTTTTTTGCTATTCCTCATTGAGCCACTGCGGTCCAGAGCAGAGAGAACGGCTGTAGATGTGGAAGTCAGCAAACAGCAAAGCAGAGACAAAGAGAGACTTGGAAGAAGCCATGCAGCAACAAGAGGTTGTTGAACTGAACAACTGACCACCAACCTACCACGGAGGACCGTTCTCAGGGAAGTATCAAGTCAGTCCCCCCGCTGAGACGAGCCAGGAGACACAAGGACAAGGAGTGGACGTCGACATATGAAGGCTGAAGCAGAGCGGCAGAAGGAGATGCTCAGAGGGTCAGGGCAGTGAACAGACGAGTGAAACCAAACAGAAGATTCCTGCAGGTGCTTCCTCTTCAGAAGACAACACACCAAAAGAAGTGACTGCAGACACACTGAGGAGAGAACGGAGAAGAGAAATCAGACAGAGTTAGATTTAGTAAAGCACAACTAGATCAAATGGCCAACTCGGGTCTGCAGCTGTTGGGTTACTTTCTGGCACTGGGAGGTTGGATCGGCATCATCTCCACCACTGTTTTACCCCAGTGGAAACAGTCGTCCTATGCAGGTGATGCCATCATCACAGCTGTGGGTCTGTACGAAGGTCTGTGGATGAGCTGTGCATCTCAAAGTACAGGACAGGTGCAGTGCAAGATCTTTGACTCCATGCTCTCTCTAGACAGTAAGTACAGTTGGACATTGTCTACTACTGAGCAACGTCTTCCTTTCATTCAGGATTATGATTATAAAAAGAATCTTCTAATAATTTACTGTTAAGCTTTAACTCAATAACTTCCTAACTGTATTGTACACCAAATAAGTAACAGTGTCAATTCTAATCATTTAATATTCCATTCTGTGATGTGACTACATAGGATTTCTTTTTGCATTTTAAGATGTTTAACAGCAATATTGGTCTAACTTTTTTTAAATTTTTTATTCTTTAAAATGTTTTTAAAGATGGATTACAAATCTCCACTCTTGTCACTGACCCTTTCATTTGGCCCCACATTTGAACCAGCCAAAAACAGAAGGAAGAAAACAACTCCCCAGGCTTCCTGTTCTGGGATGTGTTAAATTCACCAGCTGTAAATCTAACATTACTGACATTCACATCTTTGATGGTGCTGAGTGCGGGCAACAAAAACTCCAGAACATCATTAAACATTATGTGCAAGAAAAAGGAAGGGGGTCAGGAATGTGGAGTCAAGGCATGAATTAGATTAGTATGTTAGAGTCTTGTCATCTGAAATCAGTGAGTAGGAGCCAGTGACTCATAATGAATGGCCCCTGGAATAAATCACTTCATTTAGTGGCTCCTTCAATCATCCATGTATTTATTCATTAGAGATTTTAATGAAAAGCTCTGTGGGTGGAAGATTTATTTTCACCAAACAAATAAACCCACTGTTTGGAATGATTTGTGTTTCAACAATTATGGATGTGGCACAAATTCCTCGGAAAACATACGAGGTACGTTGTCCAAGTGACTGATTATATTACAACATTTGCTGTGGAGTCCTGTGCTGATGTTCCATCTCCTTTGGTTCTCGGCGACAAGAACGGCGTATTGTCCTGGTAGATGAATAGAGACTGTTGGTAGAAGAAAAGAGCAGTGTAAAGCCAAACACCAAAGATATGCTCAGAATGTCTTCTGTCTTCCACACACGCACACATTGTTCCATTTATCCATAAACACACCCAGTGAGTGCAAGTTCGCCTATTAAAGAAAAACACTAAAGCATGGAGTTCAAAGTCAAGGCCCGGGGGCAAATTTTTGTTCATGAAAACCACCAAATATGGCCACCAATTGTATATGACTAAATGTCAATAATAATTTAATTTTGCCATTTAGGTAATTATATATTATTATATTTTTTTTTTAAATGCTTTTTTGTTCATTTAAAATGACAAAGCAAAAATTATCTGCACACACTGTTAGCATTGTAGAATTAAACCTTAAAAAAAGACTTTTTCTAAGATATTTGGGTTTGACGGGAGCTTGAGAAACTGAAGAGCAGAGCTACATATCATGTGACGGATCAGTTCATCTATGGTGTGGTGCGGTGTTAAATACTGTTGTTTTTCTCATATGTTTAACTCTGAATGAAAATGGAAAAAAAAAAACTTCCTTTCCCCTGCGCTCACAGCAGGAGCAGCATGTGACAAAGTCGACTTCTGTTCACCTGACTGTGCTGCTCTCTACTGTTTCACTTATGCAACTGTAAGGAATGCGCAGCTGTGTAGTACTGTTCTCTTATGGGAGGGAACATATATGAGATATTATAGGTCATTTTGGAGGTTAGCTGTTATGCTAGTGCTGAAATGACACCTCTTTGAAACAGCAATTATCAACAAATAATTGTAAAAATAATCAAATAAAAAAGAAATCCAAAGATAGAATCTGTATCACACAATCACACATAATATCAAAGTTAAAGTTCTGATTTTAGATCTGATTCAGATTTGCCAAAAAGTCATCATTTTGTAGATCGACCTGGTTTTGTGGCTGTTTAAATAATACTTGAAATGAGAAAACAAGTCTGAAATTTATATATTTAAATTTATATATATAATATATAAATAATGTATATTTGAAAATCTATTATTTTTAAGTGGCAGTTATAACTGAAATTGTTTGAATAATGTCATGTTATGTTGCTATCCATGTCATTTACATTCAGTTCAGACTAAAAGGACACTCACAGGACATACAGCATCATATCGGTTTCTATTATTATTATTTTAATTACAGTGAGTTGTTGTCAAAGGCCGTCATATTACACTTAAATGTCGTCCTAGTGTTTAATGCACAATAAAAGTCACCAGTGACATTGTGGCACTACACAAAGGGACCACACAGTCCCATTGTGTAGTGCCACACACCCACACGCACACACACATACACAGAACGCTCTTTGAAAGCCTGTGGCTGGCACTGCCAACCTTGGCAGTGGAACGGCGGTGGTGGCGTGGCCACTCACCCCAATCCCTCTCTTCGTCCTGCTTTAAATGTTCTCCTCAATCTGTGTGATCTGAGGGAGAGATTTCCGTTGGCTGAAGAAGTGTCACAAGGTGTCAGAGTGTGTCAGAGGGCAGAGGCTGAAACTGAGGGCAAAGACAGACGACACAGAGGAAGAAGAAAAAAAAACAAACCAACCTCTGTTGAATACCATTCAGATAAAAAGGAGCTTCGGATCAATGAGTCACTCTAAAGGTCTCTCTATCCTCCTCCCTCTCTCACCATTGGTCCTTTGAGCTCAGACTCTAAAGTGTTCCACAACTGTGAAGCTTTGATAACTGTAGAAGGATCTTTGTCAATGACAGATGATTTCTACTGTCAGGGTCAAACATTTCTGTCTAATATTGTTATATCAGCGTCAAAGATTAGTTAAGAAAACACACCGTTTTCTTCCCTCTTCTGTATTTCAGCAGTTTCGTCGCAGTTATGAAACTGAAAACATCATCTAGATGGTGACAGTCTGATAAAATGCCCAGCATTGCTCCGGTCACAGCATGTTTGTGTGTGAAGTTGACACCAGTGTTTTGTAGTGTCGGTGACAGCCCTGTGAAAACAATCATGCTTTGTGACCAAATCCCACTGTGTAAAACATGTAAGGCA